ACTGCACTGTTTTAATTACTATAGCTTTGTAATAATTGTTGAAATCAGAAAGTATGAGTCTTCCAGACTTGTTCTTCTTTTTCAAGATTGATTTTGGCTCCTCTGGGTACCTTGAAATTCTATATGAATTTTGGGGTGGGTTTTACAATCCCTGCCTCCCCTTCAAATAGTCATTGGGATTTTGATAAGAATTAGATTGACTGTAGATCATTTTGAGTAGTATGGACATCTTAATATTAAATTTTCCGATCCATGAACATGAGCTATTTTTCCATCTATCTGTGTCTTCTTTAATTTCTTTTAGAAATGTTTCTAATTTTCAGTGTACAAGACTTTCATGTCCTTGCTTAAGTTAATTCTTAAGTATTTTATTATTTTTTTACTAGTGGCCCGGTGCGTGGACTCATGCACATTGAAAGGAAATTAATTATAAGAAATATTTTAATATCACTATTTGTCCTTTCTCTATAATAAAGTATCAACCTAATTCATGATTGACAATGACAGATTGAAACACATGCATGCGATTGGCGCCAGCAAGAGCTTTATATGTATCGTGCATGGGCGAGTCAACTTAGCCTTTTATATATATAGAGAACTAGGGGCCGGCCCAGTGCATGAATTCGTGCATCTTGAAAGAACTGTAGGCAGTGAGGCTGCGGTGGGCACAGGGGCGGGTCTTGGGCCATCCTTTGTGCCCCCGCCTGACCCCTCTCGCCACAGCCCCAAGTCCCATCTGCCAGCAGCCCCGCTCCCGCTGCTCTCATGTGCTGACGGTACTGGCGCTGTTCGCACCCGCTGAGAGAAGTCCTGAGGGGTGATTGGGTCTGGCAGCTGCCGCTCACACCCGCTGACGGCACTAAGCTATCAGGACCGGTGCCGGGCACCGACAGTGGGTACAAGCAGCGGCTCTGGCGCTGGCAGCAGGTGTGAGTGGTAGCTGCCGGCCCTGATCGCCCCTCAGGAGCAGGAGGAGGTGCAGGAGGTGCCTTTTACATTTATGTGGTTAATTTCTTTATCCTTGAGGCTTTTTACATTAAAGCTTGTTTTGTCTGGTATTAATATTTTGAGCTCTTCTAAGTATTTTTTTCTTTACTATTTTTCCATTATATCTTTTTGCTTTACTTTCAATCTTTATTGCCTTTATTTTTCAGGTATCTATCTTATAATAACATACAGCTGTATTTAGTTTTTATCAAATCTGAGAGAGCCTATACCAAGAAAATTAATCTGCTTAATACATGTATTGCTTTTGCATAAATATATAGATTGTTACTAATTTGTGCTTTCTATTAATCATGTTTTTGCTTTATTTTTTTTTCCTGCCTTGGTTTTGATTACATTTTCTTTAACTTATACCTTTCAAGGTTTCTGATATCAAATGAGAATCTCAGTTCCCTTGGGACCTTATGAGAGGTGAAGACCATGTCTTCTGTCCCCACAAGACTGTTAAAACTTGGAGCTTTTGGTAACTGAGACAGGCAAATGCCTCCAGGACAGCAGCGACATACGTGTCAGCTTAATAAGTTAGTTTTCAGCACCTTCTCTATGTTTGGCCTCTGAGTATTTTACATACTTTTTTGCATTTTGAGTATTTTCCTAAAAGCATTTCAACCTGAAGTTCTTGGGTGTTTTGCTGAAGGACTTTTAGGCTCATTACCTGATGTGAGATACGAAATAGTATATGAAACAGCATCACAGATTTTAAGTTTTCAAATTTAAAACTATCTTCTGTGAAATATTTTTATACACCCATATTAGAATTAGAATCAGGAATCATGTTCTAGTTCTGATTTTGTGACCCCAGTAAACCCCTAGTATTTCTCAAACTATTTTATCACCTCTACATTAGAGTACTGGATGAGTCTGAAGTAAAAATAGCATTGGTGAAGGTTCAAGATGTAGTAATACTAATCATATTCCTAACACTAACTTGCCATTGATTATCTATCTTTCACTATACCTGGCTTAAGCCTCAAATTGTCCTTTTGTTGACTAGAGTTGTTTTAATTTTAGTTAAAAAACAACATAAAATTTACCATCTTAACCATTTTTAAGTATACCATTCAACAGTGTTAAGTATATTCATTCTTGTGCAACCTTGACTTTTAAACTTCATGGTATAGATTACTTATTGTAATAAAAGGACACTTCTATTTTTTAAAAAAATATATTTTATTGATTTTTTTTACAGAGAGTAAGGGAGAGAGATAGAAAGTTAGAAACATCGATGGGAGAGAAACATCGATCAGCTGCCTCCGGCACACCTCCTACTGGGGATGTGCCTGCAACCCAGGTACATGCCCTTGACCAGAATCGAACCTGGGACCTTTTAGTCCGCAGGCCGACGCTCTATCCACTGAGCCAAACCAGTTAGGGTGACACTTCTATTTTTACCATTTCTACCTTGTCCTTACTCATCTCTTATTCCTTTCCTTCCCTATGCTATCATCATGTTTTCCCCCTTTTTTGTAGTTTTAATAGGCTTATTTTTTCTAGATCCTTCTGTGCCAATGACTTTGCGCGTGATTTAGTTATTCAACATTACTTATATTGATCTCAGGAATTCCTGAATATTTTGTAAAACTCAATTTCATTTTGCGGTGACTAGCATCATAGTGTTGGATGTTTACAACATCAGCACCTAAACAAGGATGTTCTTGCTATGGGCCCAGATTAAAGCCACTGTTAAGTAGGAGAGCAGGAGGGGGGACATAATAGGGGAGAATGTTTGAGGATGTCTAATTTGTGAGTCATCTAATTCACTGAAACATACTTTTATGTCATTTTGCTTCACTATGCATCATAGCCATGGTGGTGATGTTAAATGATAAATACTCAGAAAAATGAAGCCTCCTCCTCTTCTGTAAGTCAAAGGGTATTCCTTCCACTAGATGATTTCTTTCATTTAAATCAAATTTTACTTCTAAATTTGTCTTGACTTTTATTTAGAGGTCAACTTTTTAAGGATCAACATCATAAATCAGTGGACCTCCAGAAAAATAAGACTATGTTACACAACTAGTCATTTCAGTGGGATAAAATAAATCAACCTTCTCTGGTAGTTGTAGAAAAAAGCTTGATTAAAATTTCCCTTTACCATTGGTTTTAGAAACAATGTGAAAAGGGTTTAAGTAAAACAGATATTCCATCAATTGCAAGAAGCAGATATTTTTCCTACATTTAAAAATTTCCAATATTAGGGTGCATATTCAAATCAAGAATTACAATAATCATCAGTAGGTTCCAACTCCCTCCCCCCCATCCCCCTCATCCCCTACTTTAAAAGTTGAACCTAACAATGTGCCTTACAATGTATGGTGTTTTAAATTAGAATCTAGTCCAAAAGTCTAATCTAAGTTAGAATGTTAGTGCCAACTATTAGCCCAAAATACTAAACTGAAGCAAAGCCTATGCAGATCACAACTTTCCGTCGATAACAATGGTAACAGCAGTCATATATCCCTTACTATAACCAGGTACTATTTTAGTATATTTATTTCTTACAATAACGCTTTTTATAGGTTGATTACTATTATTAGCCTCTTTGCTGTCATGGGTTAGGACACTGAAGCAGTGAGGCTTTATAAACAACTTCTTAATAATGTGTGAAAGTGAACACCTTACACAAAATTAGTGGGTGAGTTAGATGTTTCTCTGATATATGAAGTTTTTATCTGCTAGTAAATTTTATGAAAGCTGATACTGATGGAGCAAAGAGCCATAGTTTTCCTCATTAGGACCCTGTGGTAGGCAGAATATACTAAATCCCCACCTCCCACCCCCAAAAGATGTTCCCATCCTCATCTTAGAAGCCCATGAATGTTACTCTTCATTGGAAAGAGAGTTTGCTAACGTGATTAAGGGTACAGTCCTTGAAGTGGGAGAATTAGCCTGGATTGTTCAGGTGGATCCAATCTTACATGAGCCCTTAAACATCAAAGAATCGTTCCTAGCTGCGGCAGGAAGGGCCAGAGGAAGGGAGCCAGGAGCCAATGATAGACTCTAGAAGCTGGAAAAGGGCTTTTCCTTGGAGCCTCCAAAGAATGAGCTGGCCTAATGGGACCCGCGGAAGACTTCTGCCCTGCGGACCTGTAAGATGATACATCTGTGTTGTCTATACTCTGTAAGGCTACACTTCTGTGCTGTTTAAGTCTGGCTTGACTTGTGCAGCAGCCTCGGGAAACTAAGACAGGTCCACTCAGGCTAGCCCGGTTCAACGAATTACTGTACAGTTTACAAACGCATCCCAACGAGTGCAGGGAGCCTTTCTGCGTGAACCCGAATGCATTCGGCCTGGAACAGTGTCAGGTGCGCAGTACCCGTTTAACTGACTGATGGGCGGAAGGCTGCCCTGGAGATGCTTAAACAGGCTAGACGTGCTGTGCCCTACAAACGACTGGCAGCTCGAGTCACACACGCAAACACTAGATTTTCATGGCATTTTTACCTCTGCCTTCTATGTGCGGCACGTGCTGCTGGTTTTGTACTCCCATTAGGATTTTTATGACTTGCTGTATCTTAGTGTCTGACAAGAAAAACGCGCTAAGTTCACTCGGCCTCCCGCGGGGGTCCCGGGGCGTGGGCGTCCCACGGGGCTGCAGCAGCACCCAGGAAGAAAGCGCTCGCCCCCTAGAGCTCCTGGGTTTGCAGCTGGAACAAGGAAACCAAACGCCAAATATCAGCAGGTCCTGGGGACGACCGTCCGCTGCCCGGCCGCCACTCTTCTTACGCGCCCTTAGAGAACCACAGCAGGACCGAGCCCGCGAGCCTCTCCCAGGCTCCCGGAGCAGCAGGTCCTGCACCACGTGAGCGAGCGGCATCTAACCTCGCGACAATTCCAACTACCGCGAACTTTTGTGTTCCAGCTCCCCGGGGAGAAAAGAGCGCAGGAGAGTGGCTCCGCCCCTGTAAACCAAGATTTTGTTCTCGCGAGATCCCGATGACAGTTCGGAAGCCCGATCTCGCGGGATTTTCCGAGTCGGGGCGGGAAGTCGTGGTGGTCCGTACTGGGAGGACCGCCCTAAGAGGGAGGGTCAGGGGATCGCCACGCATGTCGGCTGCTCTCTCTTCGGCATCGGAGCCCCAGACGACTAGGTGAGCGCCGCCCCGCCAGCCTCCACAGCGCTCTTCGGCTCTGCCCCTGCCTCGGACGCCACCGCCCCTTCTCCCCGCACCGCATCAGGCTGCATTTTTGCTCCCTCTCGCCGGTGGCGTCGGGGTTTAGGGGGGCGATGCACGGAGCGGGGCGGGAGGTGTTGTTGGCCGCGGTCTGCGGGCTCGCCTCCTCCCCGCCGTCCTCGAGGCTGCCAGGCCCCGCCCCCGGGCCAGATGGATCCCTCCGCCCCGAAGCCCCGCGTGGAAACCGCCGGCAAAGGTATAAGCTCCGAGCTTGCCACTCCGCTGAAACCGCTCTGTGCTGCGCCGGGTGGACCTGTTCCCGCTGGTCCCCCGGGGCTGGGATTTGACCCGGTGGCGCCCCTGAGTGACAGCTGGAGGTGCGAACCCTCCAAGGCTGGGCCCACTGCCTTGCGGTTCGGCGCTGAGAGCCCAACCCTGCTGTCACACTTCCCTTGGATGAGTACCGGCCCAGACAGTTCCTTGCTGAGCAGCTTTGGGCACGAAGAACTGAGGTCCTGTCTGAGTTCTTGTGATTATTAAATGAGACGGTGTATACAAAGCACTTGTGACCCAGGGTCTGGCCCATAATAAGCGCTCAGTCTATGTTTGATATTTCTTATTCTTTATCCTGGTACGTCCTGGTTCTTATTCATGGTAGAAGTTTGTTGTTAAGTTGATGAAAAACGCAGAGACTTTCAGTTTAGTTTACTTTATAACACAAAGAGCTTAATATATAATGTATTGAGCCAGGGCCTTATAGTACACTTTTAAAGAATCACCAAGAGGGCGTTTAAATAGGATTTAGTTATCTGCCACAAGTCATCCGAGATACCTTATCGCCCCCGAATTAATAGCTTTCATTATAGCGATATAACAACAGCAACATGCCCAATGTTTGTCTACATGCTTTCCTTCGGGGACGGTCACGATCTCATTATATAGATGAACTCAGAGCTAAAATTCAAAGAGGTTTATGTAACAAGTCAAAACTGAAGGACAGAATTAATGATACTATAACCCAGGGGGCACAAATATCAATACCTGTAGAGCCCTGGCAGGTGAAATAAATAGATGAAGCTGTTGAGTGGAGATTATAGTGACTCAGTTCAAAGGAGTAGGGGCTACTCCTCCCAAGTGGTCAGTCATGTGTGAGCTGGTACAGCATGACCTTCCAGATCAGATACCGGGTTCGTACCAGCTCTGTCTCTGCAGCTGTGTGACCATGGGCAGGTCGGTTAACCTTTATCTGTTGCAACACTTGTAAAGTGGAACTGATGATATTGCTTACCTGAAGTAATGCAAGGGTGGTTGGGAGGCTTAAATGAGCTGCTACATCTGAAGCACATGCTGGCACACACAAAGGCTTCAGATGTTGGCTATATGTCAATAGTTGTTCATTCTACACGTATTTGAGCTTCAGACATTGTTCTAGGTGCCCAGGAGGTAGCGGTGAACACAGATTAAGCCCTGCTCTAGGGAACGTATGTTTAAGTTGAGGAGATAAACAATAACAGATATGTAATATTTTTCTCTGAAAATGGAATAAAGCAGGGTAGAGGAAGAGAGAAAGGCAGGGACTTCTAGTTTAGATTGGGTGGTCAGAGAAGACCCCTCTGAGGAGATGCCATTTAAAGCAGAGAGCTGAATGAAGTGAAAGCATCAGTCACTCTGGTTGGTATTCAGGGAGAGTGTTGGTGAAGAAACAGAAAGCCCAAGGGCCCCGGGGTGGGAGCATGCTTGCCAAGGTGAGGAATAGCAAGGAGGCCCCTTTGGAATGCAAGAGGGAGAGCTGGTAGGAAATGACGTTAAAGAGGAAAACAGACCAGATCATAGGGAGCCTTACTCTCCCCACCTCTCCTCCCCCCAACACCACCACACACATACCATTCAATCCAACATGAAATCCTCCCAATTTAAGCAATTTATTCTGGAGTTTGAATCCTGAAGGATCCCAGCCCTAGCTCAAACTTAACTGTTTAGTTTTAGAAATTAGCCAAACTCAGGAACCAAGTAGTATTCCATAATTTTTTGTGTGAAGCCCCTAAGGCTTCTGCCCATGCTGTACCCTCTGACAGACAAACTGTTCTTAGACCCTTTTCCCTTGTTTCCTCGATACTTCTTTCTTATAGCACACTGTTCTCTTCTTCCATGTCTGTAAACTTTCAGTAGTGTCTCCCTCAGGAAATATCAAGGATCTGTGAGATCAAGGATGTGTTTACGTTAATAAATTCAGCACATGTTTATTGAATGCCTACTGTGTGCTGGTCCTGGGGATAAAATTTAGAACAACACAGACATTTTCTTTGAGAAGAAGTTATTTTCTAGTGGGAAAGACAGATAAAAAGAGTAAACATGAGAAACATTGTGATAGGTACTGTGGAGGCAATAAAATAATGAGCTAGAGAGTAATGGAGGGCCCTACTTTAAATAAGGTGGTCAGAGACAAAATCTCCGAGGAGATGACATGAAATCAGCTGAGAGAAGACATGCTTAGCATGTTTGAATCAAGGGGAAGTTGGAGAAGTAAGTACAGACATCATACAGGGGCTTACGTGCCACGGGTGGTTATTGAAAGATTTTAAGTTAAAGATTTGCTAATAATTTGCATTTTTAAATAGTCAATATTGCTGCTATATGGGAAATGGATTGTAGGGGAAATAGTGGCTGCAGAGAGAATGGTTGGGAGCCTATGGCTGTAATTGAGGAGAAAGCCAAAGCTGGCATACTTCAGGGCGGAAGTCAGCAAACGATGGTTGTGGACCAAATCTGGAACACTTGTTTTTGTAGATAAAGGCGTATTGGAGCACAGCCATGGCCAAGTATTTAATGTGTTGTCTGGCCTCTTTTACATTACAAGGGCAAGGCCTGCAAGATCTAAAATAACAAGTAGCTAAAATCGGACTCTACAGAATAGCTTGGCAACAGTTTCGTGGAGAAAAGTAATACATTTTTGAGGTAGAAACAGCAGGACATTCTGATGGATTGGATGTAGGGAATAATATAAAAAGAGGAAAAAGGGCAGACTGAAGGTTTTATACCTTGAAAAGTTGGTTACACGATGCTGCCATTTAATGAGATTCAGAAAGTCTGGTTCTTAGCAAGGTTTAATCACTATAATTTTTTCTTAATTTTAAAGGATGATTATTAAAGCTGAGACAGTGAAACAAGGAAGGGCCGACGAAAACAGGAGAGGGACTAGGTGGGGAAATGAGCCTTGGCAGGTCTGCTTTGGTTCGCTGAGACGGCAGAAAAGGGGCCTGGGGCACAGGGGCAGGGGTTTGGCCTGGGATGAACTGCCCTGCCCATTGCTGCCCTGGCTGTTCAGAGTTCAGGCCAGTGATGGCGAACCTATGACACGCGTGTCAGGCGACACGCAAACTCATTTTTTTGGTTGATTTTTCTTTGTTAAATGGCATTTAAATATATAAAATAAATATCAAAATTATAAGACTTTGTTTTACTATGGTTGCAAATATCAAACAATTTCTATATGTGATGCGGCACCAGAGTTAAGTTAGGGTTTTTCAGAATGCTGGCACACCAAGCTCAAAAGGTTCGCCATCACTGGTTTAGGAGATGCATGTCTGGGGGAGGGCGTGGGGAAAGGCACAGGCGCTCCAGGCCGGGGGTGCCACGTCATTATAATTATTTACGTTGGTTTTTAAAATTTTGTACCCATCGTTTGGATTAGTATCTAGTTAATAATTGGTGTCAAGTCATAGATATTGAATAATAAAAAAAAATAATGAGTTTTAGGTCTTTAAAAATTAGAAGGCATTTGCTGAGTAGACAAACAAATCATGTGAAACAGAAATAATGTATTAAGAATTGCTATAAGGGTTAATTTATGTTTTAAGGTCCAAAGAGTTACTATTTTGAAAATAGGGCCTATTGATCTATGTGTTATTTCCTGTACGGTGGATCAAAGTTTTAGATTCACATTTAGATTCATATTCACTTTTAGAATAGCGTAGCAGTTCTCAAATAGTTTGGATCCAAATATTAGAGTGGGAGAACAGATTTTTCTCTGTGTACTTCTGATTGTTATGCAAAACAGTCTCATCAGAGTTAGTGGGAATAATGGTTTTACTTTTAAAGAACAACTGATGAGAAATAGCATAATGAGCTATTCTTGAGAGAATATACTAGACATACATATATATATATATATATGTCTATATAATAGACATACTAGTCATATCCTATCTAATAAAAGAGAAACATGGTAATTAGCTTACGACCGCTACCCTTCCCATTGGATAATCAGGGCGATATGCAAATTAACTGCCAGCCAAGATGGCGGCCGGCAGCCAAGCAGCTGACGCGAACAGGGAGGCTTGCTTTCTTCCGTGACG